AGCTCTCTGTCCTGGTTCTTGTGTCCTTGGGCAAGACACTTTACCCTACCGCCTACTGGTGTTGGACAGAAGGGCCAATGGCGCGATATGGCAGCCTCACTTCTGTCAGTCTGCCCCAGGGCAGCTGTGGCTACAACTGTAGCTGCCTCCACCAGTGTGTGAATGCGAGAGTGAATGAATAGTGTCATTGAAAAGCGCTATATAAATCCAATCCATTATTATTTGTTTTGTTTTTGTTGATGGAGAGTTCTTTAATAAATCCACCCTTTGAGTTTAAACTCTGTATCCTGGGTTCTGTACACGGGTCTAGATCTTAAGCCCTCTTGAGTTAGGACTATAAGCTTTTTTATCAGTTAAGTTTTAAAACCATCCAAGAATATTAAACATTACTATTAATGGAAAATCACAACCTTATCCTTGGTTTATAGCGCTAAATTCATAAGAACCAATTCCCTGGTAACACGCCCCAGAGCTACAACACAACCTGAAAAAAAAATCGACAAACCCCCAAGATAATAAAAAAAAAAAGAAAAAAGTCAAACAGAAAAACCTGGGATAAAAGCCCCCTTGCGATGAAGAGGAATACAGGGAAAACAATGCACACCAAGGGGTTTCAAAGTTTATCTTTATTTTTCAACATGCATAGTAAATACAAAGATGACAGGATGCTAGGGTACGCAGTGTTAGCTTTTGTTACCTAGTGGCTACACAAGCCAGCAAGTACCAACAATCGAATTGGGTGTGTGGTAGTAACAGGTAAATTAAGTTCTTCTCCAATTATTTGAATATATATATATATATATATATAAAAACACCCAGCACGCCCCTGCGGGCGAGTTTATCCTTCAAGCTCGGGTCCTCTACCAGAGGCCTGGGAGCTTGAGGGTCCTGCGCAGTATCTTAGCTGTTCCCAGGACTGCGCTCTTCTGGACAGAGATCTCCGATGTTATTCCCGGGATCTGCTGGAGCCACTCGCCTAGCTTGGGAGTCACCGCACCTAGTGCTCCGATTACCACGGGGACCACCGTTACCTTCACCCTCCACATCCTCTCGAGCTCTTCTCTGAGCCCTTGGTATTTCTCCAGCTTCTCGTGTTCCTTCTTCCTGATATTGCTGTCATTCGGAACCGCTACATCGATCACTACGGCCGTCTTCTTCTGTTTGTCTACCACCACTATGTCCGGTTGGTTAGCCACCACCATTTTGTCCGTCTGTATCTGGAAGTCCCACAGGATCTTAGCTCGGTCATTCTCCACCACCCTTGGGGGCGTCTCCCATTTTGACCTCGGGACTTCCAGGTTATACTCGGCACAGATGTTCCTGTACACTATGCCGGCCACTTGGTTATGGCGTTCCATGTATGCCTTGTCCTGCTAGCATCTTGCACCCTGCTGTTATGTGCTGGATTGTCTCTGGGGCATCTTTACACAGCCTGCACCTGGGGTCTTGCCTGGTGTGATAGACCCCAGCCTCTATGGATCTTGTACTCAGAGCTTGTTCTTGTGCTGCCATGATTAGTGCCTCTGTGCTGTCAATATATATTACAATATGTATAATTTGATCATATAGAGCAGAGATCAGGCTCTGCCACCTAGAGTTTATTAAAATACAGTAAAAAATACGCACAGCACATTTTTTGCGAACAGCGTTGAAGAAAACATTGCTGTTCTGCTTATGAGGTAAAATTTATAGAAAGCATAAAATAACCAAAACGCAAAAAAAAGGTTCGAAGAAAAAACACAAAACGTTCCTGTCACATTTCAAACCAGGAACACGTGATTCTGTTTCAAGGTATCACAACGACACATGCACGCACGCACGCACGCACACACACACACACACACACACACACACACACCACACACACACACACACACACACACACACACACACCACACACACACACCACAGTTACTCAAGGCAGAATGTTTTCATGCAAATACATATTAGTCCTTCAGCTAAAAAAAGATCCCATAAGCATTTTTATGAGCTGCTGCATTCACCAGCATGAAAGTAGTGACTGTCACCAGCATGTTGCATACGTTTCCTACTTTAAATCCTTTCAAAAACACAACTGTTTGTTTTATTGTTTATGTACAACTGTTTCTATCTTCTGAACAGCAAAGCTGGTTCAGAAAACAAGTATATGGAGGCACTAGGAGGATGATACAATATAAATACATAGTTAAAACAACTTTTCAAAGGTTTACTGAAAATAAAGACATAAAATCCAAGGATAACGCTGTTCATTGCTCTGCTTGCTTTAGTTTTTTGTCTTTGTACTTTTCTTTCTATTTGAATTTTGTCCTTTCTCAAACAACTTCCTTCTGACCACCATGCTCACACCCCCGTGTCTTGTTCCTCCTCCTCCTCCTCCTCGTCCTCCTCCTGGGAAAGGAGCCGGTAATGTTCGTTGCCCACCGACAGGAAGGCAGGCGTGGGATGAACCTCGTCTTCCCTGAAGTGGACAGGATGGAAATGGGAATCTGGCTGCTCGGTAGAGCTGCACTTGGTGTACAATTCGCGACGCATTTCCTGGCCGACTTCAACCTGGGAGGGAGTGCTACGGACCCAGCGGTTCTTCACTAAGGAATAGATGTAGCTGACAGGTACAGGCAAGCTGGCAAACACTATAAGCATGATGATCATAGCCAGGGCCCAGCCAGGGTACTCGAGAGTCATCTCAGAAGCCTGAAGAGGCAGAGACACAGAGCTTAAGAGTGACAAACACTGGCAGAATTACCTTTGGCTGTTAGATAAATGTTTACTTGTGGGATTAAAAGGAGCTATAAAATTAAAAAGATAAGAGATGGTTATGCAAAAGCATAAAAGTGCAGTTAACAGATAAGCAGGTTGACGCTACAAAAAATGGCTAACTTGACTATTCTTATGAAGAATAAATACAGAGATATTGTTGTGCTATGTCACAGCAGATGAATCCAGACATAAGTATTTGGATCGCATCTTGGTGTGAGTATAACCACTGCACAGCTGTGCCAATGAAACCACACGCTCTCGTTTACTGATGATTTTGTTACAAATGAAAGCTTCAGAATGAACGCTCACTGGAAAATATGTCACCAGTCAGCAGGACAACAATCCTAAACATACAGGGAGTCAATATGATGCAGAGGGACAGGTGATGATGAGGTTTAACGCTATAATGTCAGATGAGTTTTTCAGACGTCCACATCATCAGCGTATTTGTTCTTCCCTGCGTAACCTGAATAAACTGCACAAAAATGCCATATGTAGAATAAATATAAACACTCTAGTTCAGGATCCTAAGGTCAATGTTATTGTCTGGCCAAGTGAATCTCCTAATATCAGTATAAATTAACCACTTTCCATTTGTTGAGCATCACAATAAAGGAAATGAGAATCCAGAACATTGAGATGGTGGTTGCACTGAAGGTCTGTGAGATCATCAGAGTTGATACAAAAAAAAGTTTCTTTTCTACTGTTTTGGACACTGTGCTAAAACCACAACATCTTCCAGCATGCATATATGTGTTACACACATGCATATAGTGTGTACTGTGGGTCAGGAGGTTGTCTACTGAAGTGGAGTGGGATGTTTGATCCCAGATTGTCCAGTTTTCAGGACAAATACAATGAATTCTGACTTTCTCCTGATGTATTCATCAGAATGAGTGTGAGTGTTTGGGTGAATAAGGCTTGTGTTAAAAATCACAGTGAGTGCTCATAGTAGAAAAGAGCTATGCAAACACCACCTGATATTTTAAAACAGTAACTGGCTATTTGAAGTTTAAAATCATGTGATTTGATGGAAAGTTGAAGTCGAACATCTCACCGTGCTTTGATTCCAGGCGGTGTACGTGGGCCCTTTGAAGACCATGCGGAGCAAACTGGCTGCCAGAAGACTGACCATCGCCAGCAAACACACATATTTCCAAAGGTACTTGTACACCACCGGAGGGCGCCATTTGAGCATTATTTCAATATCATCCAGAAAGCTGCAATAATCAAAATGCTTTTCTTAAAATGCATCTTTTCAAACAAACATATAAAGACAAAAAAACCTGTGAAAGTCAGAGATAACGTTGCTTACCGATCTGTTCCATAAACCCACGCCACACTAATGGTTTCAAAAATGACCACAATGACCAAAGGCAGGGTTGCAGAGTAGTCATCAAACATGGTCACAAAATAGTTGCCAGAGCGCTGAGTGAACAGTAATCCAATAATGAACCCCAAAGCACAGCTGGACACTAAAAGACAGAAAACATTTAAAGACCACTTCAAAGACAACAAGACTACATTTATCTCCCATAGTACACCACTGCAGTACGAGAATCTTGCACTTTTTTGGTTTTTATGTAGTTTTATTTAAGAAAAAAATAACAATAAAATACAGCAGCAGAGTTTGAACACATGTCAACTGATGTTCAGTACCCGTGAGTAGGGTTCGGTGACGCCCCAAGAGGCTGAAATTGTCCATGAGAGGTGTGAGGATTCCCTGCATTGTTCCAAACATGGTGCTGAGGCCCAGGTTGAGCAGCATGAGGAAAAACAGGGCGGACCAGAAGGGACTAGCTGGGAAGAAGGCCATCACCTCAGTGAATGCTATGAATGCCAGGCCTGTCCCTTCGACACCCTGAACGCACACAAGATAGTAAGATAGTGGAAATACGTGGGGAAAAAGCAGATCCACTCAGTCTAACAGACAACAAATGTGTGTTAACTGTGATGCTGTTTCCAGAGCTAATCTATACCAGTAAATTACCTGTGCACCTTTTGCATAACATGCTCTTTAACACAGAGAATAGGTCTTTTCTTTTTAAATAAAACAAACACCGTGAGATAACATGACTCTTTGTACATCTTGTCCTGTTTCTTTAGTATCTCCTTCTTTAGTATCACAGCTTGCTTTCATTTTTCCTAGAAAACCAGCAAGATACAATTTCCAATACATTTTCATTGTCTTGCCTGCTGGATATTTTATAGCACCTCCTAGATTCTTCGTAGGTCCTGGGAACATCGGCGCTCGCCTACATACAATTGTTACTGAAATGTTCAACTTTGATTTTTGTAACCGATCCAGTATCTTGTGCCTCGTAGGACACCTGCAGTTCTTTCATTTATGCAAAGTTGTCTTTAAAACACTTTGTAATCCTGGATGAGTGAAGCAGCACATTAGAAACTCAGTTTAATACCAGTGACTGCTCTTTATTATTGGACATACCTCTTCCTATAATGTATTATAATACAGAACATATATACATAAGAAATCTCAGCTGTTGTCCTAATTTTCACGCATGCTTATAGATGTGTATTCCCATCTTGTTACCGTTTACACGCTACTTGTTCCAGTTTCTTAGATCCCTTAAACTACTGCAAAAACACTACTGTTTTTTTTGTTGTTGTTTTTTTTTACCTTTTTTGGTTTGTTTGTTTGTTGTTGTTTTTTTGTTTCTCTTGCTTTGTTTTTAATCATGTTGTGAAGCAAAGCTGTTGTTATTAATATCTCAAGATTACCTTATTCATCTCCTGCTCCAGACTGCAGTCAGTGATTTTAGGACCCACCATGGAGCTGTAGAGATGGTACCACTCTCTGTATTCAGCTAAAGTCACAGTGCTTACATCTGTCATGTTGAACCATGGCCACCAATGCTGGTTAGATCCACTGGACGCCAATAAGTTTAGTACACTGAGATTTCTGAAAAGGTTAAACACAAAAATAATAAATAAATCTAAGATAACCAATCAAACAAGCAGTCCACCTTAAGATTGTTACGGCAGTTTGCCAATCTAAAAGTGCTCGCTAGTTGGATTTGAATTACCATTTCAATCATGCACAGACATACGTACTCAGCCACACAACGTAGTGCAATGTTCTTGGCACGGAAACCGAGCACGATGAAAACCACTAGAGAGGCCAGCACGGATGTCATGAAGTTGATGCAGGAGACCATCAGAGCATCCCTGTGGCAGTTGTTGTGGACTGGATTGTAGGAGGAGTACGCGATAACAGAACCATAGCCCAGGCCCAGGGCGAAAAACACTTGTGTAGCAGCCTGTCGCCACACCTGCACGTTACCCCAGATCTCCAGCTGCAAATATGACAAAATAAAAGCATCTTTAGGTTTACATTCTTTCGTCAAAGCTTAAAATGTTTTATTATGGGTTTTTTTGTAATCACTGAGGTGTTTGTCTTTTGTTAGTTAAATGAAAATAAAGAAAAGATGTCAAGAAAAAGGAAGAGAGAGAATATTGCTTACCTTAGGATAAAACATGTAGGTGATTCCTTCCAAGGCACCGTCCAAAAGTAATCCTCTGATCAGGAAAATAAAAAGCACCACATAGGGAAAAATGGAGGAAAAGTACATCACCTAAGATTGGAAAAAGAAACGGATAATGATTTCAACAGTGCAGCATTTTGTAAAATATGATCATTTGCTTTTCTCAATCTCACTTCACTATTAAAAATTAAAGTTTACCAGTTTACCTGCCAAGCACCAACCCTCAGGTTCCTCAAATTGCATACTTTTATTTTTAAACTTAGTAATTTGAGTGCATACCCAGCAAACACAGTGGTCATGGCACAGCACCAAAAAAACTGAACCGTAAATGTTAGGATGTTTATGGTGTTTTCATGTAAATATTGCATCAGCATCTCTTACAAGGTGAAAAACACAGATTAAAGTATTGCAAAAAATTTTCTTTTTATTTATTCACAGTAACAGTCGCTTCAAGGTGGTTTTTTTGCAAGGCAAGGACACGACAATATTAAAAATAACCCCAACAATCACACAGCATGTATGTGGTTTGTACCTTCCTATGAACAAAGACCATGGTAACTTGAATCATCATTGTGGTAAACGTCCACAATGCAGGTTCAACTTTCATTTTGGAGTGATTTGTATGGGCTCAAAATGTGGTCATAAATATTTTGTACTTGTAAATCGGTTTTGTACTTGTAGATTTGTATGTGTAAAAAAAGTTGTGTGCGTAAAAAAGATTTGTATGTGTAAAAAAGATTTGTATGTGTAAAAAAGATTTGTGCGTGGACTTAGCCCAAAAAAACCCCTGCAAGTTACAACTACGAATTTTGACCCTATTTTTCTTCCTTTAAGCTGATTGGTCAATGTCATGTCAATCACAAATTAAACAATCCAATCAGAGAACAGATGGGTTTGGCTGTCGGAGGGGCACTTTTTTGAACTGCAGGTCCTTGAAGGGTAATCTCTATATAAATATCTGATAGCAGTTAGGTCCCCTTACTTTCAGCAGCTGTTGAAAGGATAAAGTTGTGGTATGTCAGTTAGAAATACCATTATTACTTTAGGATTAGTTTAACACAATGTCAGGGCTGACCCGGACCATTGCTGTGAGTCACAGTGCGCAGCATAAAAGTCCTTTCACATCGGACGCAGGATGTGCTGCTAATGCTAATTGCTAACTAAAAGCAAAGGATCCAGAATTTGTTGCTGGCTGCTGGGCTCTGTGGGTTTTTGCAGCAGCTCTACCTGTACTAGATGCACCTGCTCCTTGTCTTTTCTATCTCTGACTTTATGTCCTCTACAAGAGTTTTTTTTTTTTGCTAGTTCTTCAAATGTTCAATAAAAACATGTATGCTAATTCATAACGAAGAAAGCTTTGTAATGAAGACTGTCATTTCCAAAACACTGCCCCCCGCGGTCCGCAGCGCTGTTGAAAAGGCTGTGGAAGTCCCTGTATTAAACACGTAGTCCTGTGACACAAAAATCACCAAACTCGGACGACCACAGACTGTTTTCCTTCGTGGTGATGAAGGAAAACGCTGGGTTGGCATGTAAAAGGGCATTTATTCCCTTCAAAGACCTGCAGTTCAAAAAAAGCGCCCCTCCGACAGCCAAACCCATCTGTTCTCTGATTGGATTGTTACATTTGTGATTGACATGACATTGACCAATCAGATGAAAGGAAGAAAAATAGGGTCAAAATTCGTACTTGTAACTTGCAGGGTTTTTTTGCTAAGTCCACACACAAATCTTTTTTACACATACAAATCTTTTTTACACACACACAAATCTTTTTTACGCACACACAAATTCTTTTTACACATACAAATCCTGATTTACAAGTACAAAATATTTATGACCACATTTTGAGCCCATAGGATTTTCCACCATAGGTAGACATTGAGAAAAGGTTGTCAGCCAACAGTTATCAAATGTCAACATATTTACTGGGTAAGTGCAACATTTGGCTCAAGGTTATACAGCCAAAATGTAAAACTGTGGTTGTCATCTTAGCCATTCTACCCAAGTTGATCACACAAAGCGCCTCCTACTGCAACTCTCATTCACACAATGCTTTTACCTTTGCTTTAACACTTTTTCTAACATTCACAGAGATACATCAGGAGCAACTCTGGGTTCATTATCCTGCCAAGATTACCTTGACATGAAGCCTGGAAGAGCTACCAACATTTCAATTTGTAGACATCCTGCTCCATCCTGCTGAGCCACTGTGAGAAGGTCCACTAAAAATATTTCTGCCCATTTTGGAAGATGCGTTGTCAGTGCAGGTGTCCATGTTTAAGATGGCTAGCTAACATCAGCAGCTTTTTCCCAGCCATTGATTTTGCGTGTCTGTTTCTTAGTGTTAATGTGTACTAAAATGTTATAATCACTGTAGAAGATTATAGTACTGTCAGATACACAAAAAGTTTAGAATAATTGAAAATGCAGTTATTAATTTCCATCGAATACATTTAAGACAAGCTGTCAAGTAAGCACAGTGAATATATGGAAAAATACTAATGTAAGTGGGAACATGGCATGTCTGAGCCCGCGCTGGAATGGTAGCACACACTTGGGCAGGATGGCTGCTGTGTTTGCTTCGGATTACTCCTCACCCCCCACCCGACCCTGTGGCTTGTCATGTGTTCCATAATGTTGTGCTGTGGACATTTATGTGCTTTTTTGTGCAGAGGAGTTTTTTTGTTTCCTGTTCTCATGCTGTCCTCCCAGGAGCCCAGCATGAGTAGAGGTCTCTTTTTTTCCTCTTGTACTTTCCCATTGTAGTGTATATTTCAGTGTTTGTTTTCTGTAACGCTACGGATCTCCAACCTGAGGCAGAAAAGGGGCGAGCTAACATTAACACAAACACTTTATATTTGTGTGCTAACGGTGGGACTGGTGTTCATGTACCTTTGCAGAAGACTTGATGCCCTTTATCATTGCCAAGGCAACAATTGCCCAAGCAGCCAATAAACAGCCTGTCATGATGGGGTTAAACTCTCCAGATTCTTCAATGGAATTTGTGATGTTGAGAGCTTTCCGAAACCAGAAATACGACGTTGGGGAGCTGCCTGCGCATTCTTTCACTGTTGATTGAGAAAAGAAAACACTGTAGGCTTCATCAGACATCACTTCATTTCACTCGGTCATGTGATTACCTGTGTCATTGGAGGTTACATTCGTTGGACACTTCTCCCATGGCAGAGGATACTGAAAGGAGTTACCCATGTAGAACAGGCTCCATGCAATGATAACGTTATAGTACAAAGCCACATAAAAACAGACCTGGGGAAGAAGAAAGCATTTATATCAATAAATAATCAGTATTATTAATCATATTATTAAAATATGCTGCAAATTGTTTGCAGCTTCAGTGTAATGCTGTGATTTCTTTTATACTTGTAGCCTACAAGTAAAGGCTAACCCAGGGAATGTAGCCATAAGGTTCGACATTGACCTTAACAATGACAAACAGAGGTTAGGTCTATTTAAAGAAAAATAAACACGCTTTATAAAAACCACAGGCTATCTAGTCGTAGATTTCTGTTGTGTGTGCGGACAAAAACGTTCTTGGGTACTCTGTGTTTTCCCCAACTTGTTACGCAATCAACTGCCAGCACAGACGCACAGCACACTACCTTTCTCATGTTACAGCATGGGTGTGCGTGAGTATATACACACACATGCAGCTTGGCTAAGGTGTTTACAGAAAGGTGATAAAGGCGGTGACACGTGATGCAGGATTGGGGCCAGATAAGTGAAGGTGAAGAGATTAAAAATACTGACCCCGGTGCTACTTTTGAAACCCAGACTTGGAAAAAGCAAGTCAGCTGTCAAACAACAGCAGCCTTATCAGAACACACAGGTACATGAACGTAAACAGAAAAAGGTCTCAGACAGAAAAAAAAAAGAAAATGCTCACCATGCAGCTGGAGTAGCCGATCCCTCCCAGCTTTGGAGAGATGTGCTTCCATACACCGATGCTGCCCTGTCGAATGCTTTGACCAGCAGCCAGCTCCATAAAAAACAGTGGAACTCCCACAACCACCAAAAGAAAAACATACAGCAGCATGAAGGCACCTGGAAGGAACAAAGGAGGACATATATTTGAAAGGCAAACCCAAAGTCACCTGTAGTTCCAGAGGGAAAAAAACTTTGCATTTGCACACACAGGCAAACACAGTCTAACTAAGCACATTAAAAAAACAACAGTTCTTGACTTTTTTTTTTAACACAAACTCAGAATTTGCCATTGAAGCTGGAAAAAATGAGCAAATTTATATGTCAGCAACCTCTCTAAAAGATGCTTGGAGTCTCATGATCTAACCAAACATGCTGCATGCATGTGGTGTACAGCTATAAATAAAATATGGTTTAGAGTTCTATTCTTCTCCAGAAAGAAAAGTCAGTTTCACACAGTGACATTCGCAGGATCTCAGAAATCAAAAATACAAAAAAGCAGTATAATGATGCATAAAGCTGTATACTACAGCACTGCTGGGACAACGTTGTGTAGACAGATAAACCAAAAGTTTAAATATTTTGCCCTGTTTGGAGGTAAAGAGCACTGAAAACTGGCACTGATCCTCATCTCAACTTTGAAGCACAGTGGAGGGAGCATCATGGTTTGGGCTGCTTTGATACTTCAGGTGTTGAATGCCTTGTAATCACTGACAGAGCAATGAATTTAATATGTATCAGGGCACCAGCCCATGTTTTGGAGCTTAAGACAGCTTGAATGAGTCAATATTAACACAAAATCCACACATCAGCCGCACATATATTAAAATTAATATAAACTCAAATTCATTTTTAAGTCATTTTTATTAGTATAAACTGCTGAGGTGAACTACCATGTGGTCAGGATGTTAAAGTATGGTCATTTATTGTTTTTGCTTCCCTTCATAGTGTGATTAGTTCATGTTTATGAAGCAACAGCGTCTTGCTCATCCATAAATCCTTTGTAAACTATGGTTTGAAATTAGATCATCATTCAGCCTCTATTGCTATACATAAACTGTTTACTTTCCAGTATTGTAATAAAATTAACAGTTATGTTATGCATATGAAAATTCAAAGGAGGATTTTACCATTTTATTACCATCAGGATATCATATCGTTACTAATATATTACTGTGCTAATTATTAATTAGTTTTACCTCATATGCATACATTTGTTTCCAAGTTTTTACCCCTAGTTTCTGGTCTGTTATTACCCAATTGTATACATTTCAGTGTAATATTATGCAGCTATAAATACTTTTGATACAAAATAATTACTTTGGTGTTATTAATTTAGTGGCAGTAAAATATTTGAGCCAGTTTCCCCCTTATTACCCCAATATTACTGCTTTATTACCAAGTTGTAACACAATGTGTCACCCATCTGTTTATAGTATTAGGAAGTCCTGCTGTTCATTTATATTAAATTCCCTTTTATTCAAGTATTTATTTCTTTTTATGTGTTGCATTGCTTTGGCACCAAAACAGCTACTAAGTTAATCACTTAAACCTGTAAGTTAATCTTGTCACTCACCGCCTCCATTTTGATGGCAGAGGTATGGAAATCTCCACACATTCCCTAAGCCCACACTGAAGCCCACCTGGGCTAACACATACTGAATCTTAGAATCCCATGCTGGACGGTCTCCGTCGTCTGTCGCAGCTTCATCGGGACCATCCACAGCTGTGAGCTGAGTTTGGGACCGGCCTTCTTCCATCCAGGTTCTGCCCTCGCTGCCGTCCAGCGGAGGCTTTTCTGTCTTGTTATAACGAGAAGAAGTAATATGATGAACTAAACCGATTATCAGTTGAAGCTTCATCCTGACGTGTGAGTCTGCACAAAGTCATTGTAGTTATGCTGAGCAAATATGTGTGGAAACACACTACTTTGTGCACAAAATTATGTAAGGAAAGAATTAAATTATGCTAGGAAAAAACTTTATCACAATTTATCAGGGACAACAAAGAGGAAAAGCACTTGCTGTTATTTGGTTGTCATGTTGTCGAAGGTTATATCACTACTCCTTATCAGTGTGAAAACACAGCAGTGAGACAATGCATTACGTAATCCAACATTAAGGCATTATCTTTACTCTAACTTGTCATTCTCCCATCACTACGTCAGATGTATGAAGAAATGCTAATGCAGACACTGAATTTCCTACTGATGCTCTTTTACGTTAAAGTCATTCAACTGGCATATTTAGCACTGAGGAGAAGCCCAACTGTGACTGACCTTTCAAAATGCTTCATCAGTACACCCAGGTGTTAGCAATTCATTAGCAAGACTGACATAATGGCAGGTTTAAATGCATATAGAATGCATAAATAATGGATGTGTGTTACTTACTGTGCTCTTTCTTATTATGAAATTATCCAGATAAAAAACTTTGTTGCATCACCTCAATTCTCTTTCATTTAATGTAAACACCAGGGTCATGGTGTGCATTTCAGGGAAAAAAAGCATTCAGCTGAATCACCTCCACACTGAACACTAAATGTCAGCTCAGATGAAAGTGACGGATCCAAAATGGCTTAACACAAGCCAAGCTGGCTTCAGAACATGACCTCTCCTGGTATCAGCTGGTTAGAATGGAAAATTACAAGACCCAGAAAGAGTTCATGGCTGTTCAAAACACACGGCCGGATAGGGCAGGTGATTTCAGAAATATCCATGCCCACATGCATAGAGTGTGAGACTGTGACAAATATATGCATGCACAAATAGAAAGGAGGGGAAAGTGGGGCGGACAGAAGCCATACAGTGATGTGTGGTTGGGAGTGGGAGGGAGAAATCCGCTGGGAGGTGTTAGGCTTGCATTGGTTCATACTGTGGGTGGTGCTGAGGTGCATGGGTAAACCACAAAGTGGGTACAGTTGGTAATAATATAGGAAAAAAGTTAGGGTTAGGGCTATCAGGGTATGCTGAACAAATAATTAAAAAGTCAACAGCTTGATTAAGCTTTAAGGATCCATGTGTTTGAGCTATAAACTATAACATGGACTATACTGAAAAAGTCTGCTTCACACACTCCTGTGAGTTCATTTGATCACTTACCTTAGAGCAAACACACTTTTCTATAGAGCTGAAGTGACTAGTAGATTTTCATTTCATTTCATTTCCATTTATTTATTGTCATTGTCAGAGAACAATGAAATTGCGTTTGGGGCTTCCGTACAACCCGTAAATAAAATAATGAAGAAAATAATAAATACCCCTTAAAACCCAAGTGTAAATATTTAACCCAGTGTGACTCCAGTGCAATAAGACAATCCTTAGCAACAACATGAGAACATGACAAGTAATGTTCATAAGAAATTCAGACAAAGACCTGAGAAACATGACAAAGTACAACAATGCAACCCATTCAATATTATTGTACTGTGAGATATGATGTCAGATATGATAGTTATCTATTTAAGAAAGGATCTCCTTGTGGAGTGTCAGCCTGTGGTGTCCAGTGTGTGTGTCCAGGAGAGATGACCTGCGCTGTTTTCCTCTGAGGAGGTAAGATTGTCCTAATTTATTTATAATTTAAGTATTATTCAAATTGGGCATGATTTATACCAGATTGACTATATTGAAGTAGTACAGTATTTGCTGGGGTAATGCATTGGCCAACTTTATTATCTTGTGCTACTACTCCAGTCAAGGCCCTTGCCAGTGTTATATTCAAATCCTTACCCTGAACATTTCTCCCAGTACAAGAAGAGTCCCCATGCTAAATCGAAATTGTGAAACAGAAAGGCAATCTCATAATTTTGATTTAGAATGTTTTTTTTGTTTGTTTGTTTGGTTTTTTTGTGCTAGAAATAGGACTTCTATACACTGAGATGGTTAGGGAAAGAATACTAAGGCAGGTCTGATTGGTCACGGATTTTGGTGCAACTTAGAACATAATATGTATTTTCATATTGATACTGGGTTTTGTGGAGGGTATTTCTATTCCTGTGCAAAATACATATTCATGAGAGATTTTTGAAGTAGGTTTTGCTGTTGATAACACAATCAGGCATATAACATGGTGCAGACTGTCCAAGACAGCTAATTTTCTGTGCTGAATAAATGACAATATTTTGGTGACTGTATTGTTTAGATATCTGAAACATTTCATTGGATCACAAGCAAAGACCTCCTGGGGACCTTCAATGCATCTCTTGACAAATTTGTGCCTGGCCTGCTGAAACTGTACCGGTCTAAGAAGGGAGCTCTTTGTGAGGAGATGGAAGACCTCCTGGATAAACTTGACGAACAGGTGAGTGAAGTGCCCCTTTATCTGACATTTTTAGAAGAGAGTATACTTTTCTCTGAACAGAAACTGAAAAAGATGTTGGCTTCAAACAAAACACATCAGTCAGTAAAAATTAATGTCATCAGTCATTGCTTTGTTCTTATTTGGCAGTATTTTTATTTAATTTGTAAAAAGAAAGTAAAATTGTTAACATGGTGTTGTTGTTTTTTGTAAGTTTTGCGTGTTGCTGGGTCTGACCTGTGCTTTATTTTCATTACTATGAGAGTTCTGATTTTGCATTGTGTATAGTACACCATGTTACTACACTAATTGAAATTCTTGTTTTCCACTGAATACTCTTTAGGCATCCGACATTGTGTCCAACGGGCACTGAGACGCCAGCCCATTTTCCTCAAGGGACGATGCAACAGAGGTTTTCCTGAAGTGCTTAGTAAGTACAAAAAAGTAATGCAAGTAAATCTAATTGCTATGAGATGTTTTTAAAGGATGAGTTAATCCAAAATGGAAATGTGCACTTCCTCAGTGCAGTCCAGATAATTTTATAGTGGGGATTGCAGTTGTCATAACTCTCACTCCTTTTTTTTTTTTTTTCTGCTGAGCAGCAGCTGGGCATTGTTAGTGGGTGTTCCAGAAGAAAATATGTTTGTTCAAAACTCAACAAGGTGGCATTAATTATAGGAAAATAAGCTTTTTCTTCTTAAAACCTCTATGAGTCAAGTGACCAGCATGGTATAGAGGTTAAAGTTAAAATCTTTAGAAATTTGTTTGGGCTTTAGTTTTTCTTAGCTTTCAATAATTCATATTTTACTTTTCTTCAGGACACTGACATTTTGGAACCAGTGTTGAACGGTGCATCAGTTGCCATCCTCACCATCCTACAAGATGACGATGCCGATACGTCTGTGCGAGAACATGCAGTTGTGTTGGAAGGGGACATCGTGCTACATAACATTCCAGATCTCTCTACTGCCTTGGCATACCTCTTTGGCCTTCTGTATGCCCTCAACATTGATTATCCAAAGCAGATGAGTTATACCTTTAAAGCAATTGAGGCCAGTCTTATTTTGACCTGGTCGGACTTTATGAAGGTGAAGTGGATAAATCATTATTCGAAATGTAAATTTTAGTCAGATGAATCTGTATTGTTGAGAATATATGGTGAAAATTTGTCTTGTAGTATTTTAAAAGATTTGTTATAGTGTTTTCCATATGAAGCATAGAACTGGTGTTTTACCTGTTAGTTTCCTCTTCATTGATGGTAACATTTCTAATAACTTTTAACTTCCATAGTTCATCATAGTAAGCCCATGTAAAATGTCAATGTCTGGGTACATAGGCATCGTTTGTGGCACTACCCTATTTAATGTGCAATAGTTATGTTCAGCTTTTACAAGACGGTCAGGGTGTGTGCGTGAATTATTAAGTTGCTGGACACTTTTCTTTTTTGGTTCTGGACTCTGTATTCAGCAGAGACGTTATTGCCAAAGCACCCAAAAGAAACTGGCAACACGTTTTTGTTTGTTTGTTTATTTCTTTTTTTCTTTCTTTCTTTTTTTTTTTTTAACAGAAATTCACCCTACTACCCATGACATTCTGAAATGTACTGAAAGCACTGTTGAACAAAATAAATAAGCTTTTAGATAACATTGAATTGTGCTTTGTTTTATTCTATATCTATTTATTGAGTGTTTTTTCCCAAGTACAATAACAGCATACATTTCTTTTACTTATATAGGTAAATTTCCAACTCACTGGAGTAAGAATTGTATGATTACTCAACAAGAATATCCTTGTTTGGTGAAGGCAGAAATACATGGCATTGAAACCAGAATTTCTTTGTTAGACTTCCAGGATTATCCTAATTAGGTGAACGAGAAGATCCAAGTTGGCAGAACTTGTAAATCTTAGTTAAGTCAACAACAGTTGGCAAATTTGAGAAAACTCAAAAATCTCTTGCATCATGTTGCCTTGAAATTTTATGTTTTCTCAACTTTTTCTTTTTTACAGTGTATTTAATATTACACAATATTACATTTTACAGTGTGCACAGTTGACTCAGTACGACAAATTCCCACATTAAGACCCTGGAACCATGGAATATAATGACCAGCAGTTAGTATCCATTAAGCTTCAGCAGCTCTGTTGTCGGGGAGCTCTGCTGAGACTGAATGAGAACCAGAGTATTTTCTCTGTTAACAGACATCTGTGAAGGTCACACTGCTGCTTTAATCCTATTGGCTCCAATCAGTGGTGCTCTCTCTCTGTTTGTCCGTCCCTAAGGCTAGCTTTCTGTTGTGTCCTTGTCTGCTGTGCTCACATCTCACAGCCCACATTAGTGCTATACGCACACATACGGCAGCATGTGCACTTAGACACACATGCATATCCACACACAGATCAGTTGTGGCCCTGGGGAGTGAGGGGTGTGACCCAGAGGCATTTCTATTTAATACAGATCTAACAGCTACTGTGTTTATTCCTGGCTCAATTTAACACCTTCTGCATACTTCCCACTCTCTACCAATCCCTCGTTCCCTGCGAGTGAAAAGGCAAAAAGGTGGTAGTAGTGTGAAAACACTGAGCATGTTTTATGACACATATGCTTGCTGGTGTCAGTCAGTGTGTGTGTGCTTGCGTGTCAGTGTGCAGCTCCCTGCGAACAGAGTTGGGAGTTTAAACCCCTCCAAGAGTACTGGATGCTATTTCTATCTCAGCAGTCAGGGTAAAGGGGGAATACTTGCCTATTGTCACAACAAAGAGGCTCCTGATTGGTTGTCAAGCATGATAGCACCCCCCCTCCCAATCCACGACACATACAAACACACACACACCGCCATCACAACTCCCAGGCTGGATTTGTTTGCGGTATCACTGTTTTGCTTATTTGTGTTGGTATTTGTCTGTACAGAGCCCACAGAGAGGGGTTTCCACCCACACAAACGTGCTTCATGCAGTCCTTCAAAATCCCAACGACATGTAGCTCGGCTGGTCGTCGGTCCAATGTCAATTGGTTGACAAGTGGGCCTATCAGACGAGGGAGCAACACCCGTTCTCCCCAACAAACATCCAAACATGAGAAGCACAGAGAGCAGCTGCAGTGTGTTTAACACTTTGTTAGAACTTCACTCTTCTCTTCAGCTGGCATGAACCACAATAGCACAAGAAAACCAACAGGCCAGTTTGAACTCTGTCTCCTTCTACCACAGGTCGATGTAGATGGGCTGTCTGCCAAAGCACTGCCCACAGATCACCATGCTGAGCATGCTAGCCTCACACTTTCTCTGGCTTCCAGCAATATACTGTAGGCTGTAGAACCTTTGGGCTAACAAATATCCAAAGTTATAGGCAACCAAGACACTTCTTTTTTTATTCAGTGATCAGGAAGGAGATGACTAATATCCCCCCAAAATTAAAAACATGCTGTGTTATACCAGGACTTTTATTACCAGCAAACATCACAAAGCAGAAATCCACAAATGAGATATCTATGACACTGCAGGCAAGTCCACATTGTTGTGTAATGTAATGGTCATGTACCAATGGTAAATGTAAAGTAACACATTTGTTGTACATTGAGTTAGCAGTCCAGTGCTAGGTAGCATTAGCCACTATAACATATTGGTCCAGGAGAATTAATAGCAGCAAACCCTGGAGAGCGTTAAAGGAGAAGCTTAATGCTTAAGAGGGTTCATTGGGCTTTTCATCTCTATATTCTTCCTGTGCCTCCTCAGGTTATGCAGTTCACTGAATATTCATTTAACAGGTTTGCTAAATTGGTTCAAAGTGTGAATTTAAGAGTGAAGGTATGCCTTTCTCTCTGTGTTAGCCCTGTATAGATGGCAATGGGTAATGGATTCTTTGAATTTTCCTCCAGCATTTGCAGGATGGATGAGACTGGGATCTGGGATCTGTGTCATTATCTTCAAGGTTTTCTTGATGGTTTGATTGTTGTAGCCTTTTGATGGTTTTGTTGAGCCAGTGAGCACTGGCCAGAAGTAAAAAAACAAAACAAAACAAAAAAAAAAACCCTACAAAATAAACCACATCAAAGTATAAATAGCTCTTTCTAGCAGAAAGTTTGCAAAAACAGTGCTATTTCCATTTTTGTTTTTTGATCATAAGTCAGAGCCTCTTCATCAGTCTAAAGCTGGAAACATATTTGGAATTGAAGAATAATCAAATGAGACATCACTGACTGCAGTATGTTCTCCATATGTGGACAAAAGACTCTCGGACTTTGTTTTCATTGGATGATGACCAAGAGCTGAAGGCTCACCAAAATAACAATATATTTCCACTGAGCTGTTTCATTTGGATGTTGCCCACTGCACGAGGATTATTGAGGTCTTTCTTTTTTAAAAATCATAGATAAGCACCGACCCTATCATTCTCTCTCTCTTTCTATCCTTTGGCTTTATAATGATAACCCAACCAATGTCCAGTGCATGAGTTCTTGATTATTATGGGCCATCAGTGGTAGTGCAGGTTTGGCCACGTAAAACGTTAATGGATTAGCGTCAGGGCTGGACTGGGACATTTTGACTAGAGACTGGCCCACCAGGTATTAAAGCCATAAAGCCTTTAAATGAAAACAAACGCTGTTGTGACAGTGATGTACAGTCTTGTTGGTATATGTATGATTTCTATACATTTTACGTCAGATAAAAAACTTTGGTTGTAATATTCAGACAATTATTTAATAAAAGCGAAACATTTTAAATGAGAATAAGAAAATAAAGTATTCCTTTGTGCCCCCCTCTCCCTGTTAACCCTTTAAGACCTACCATAGAACCAAGTCTGCCAGAGCTTATATTATATTTTTACATGCTGTGGAGCCATTTTTGAGAGCATTTCAAGTTGATATACATCAATACAAAAATTATAGCCCAAATTTTAATAATATGTCTGCATTAAGTGTATAGTAATTACATAATTTGCAAAAAAGTGCAATACACTACAAAAAATTGAAAATAGTGTTTGTTTTTTTACATATTCTTCTAGTTAGAGAAATTTAAGAGGCTTATCCCTCAAAACTGTAAATACAAAAAAGTTGCACAAAATAGTTTCCCACCACAGGAAATTTATTTTGAGTGTCTTCATAGTTTTATTTTTGAAATACACCAATTTTTATATACTGCAGGAAAAACGAAAATAAATATTATATGCAAATTTGCAAAAAACAGCATATGCATCAAAATAAACTATTTCCAGCAGTGCAATATGAGTCCTAAGCATCCCAGAAACGACACAGAAAGTCATAAAGTCAAAGATAACTTTTTTTTTTTTTTTTTTTTCTAAATGACATCAGAAACAGCAGTATGCGACATTACGTGATGGCAGAGCTTCAGTTCATCCTTTGTCATTTTTTTTTTTTTTTTTAATAAATAGGACAGGGGGAATGAATGAGAGAAAGAGGGGGAGAGAGAGAAAGAAAACCAAAGGGGAGAAGAGACGGTGAGAAGGGGGGGGGAAAAATAAACAACTCCTGGGTCACCTGTATGGAGAAAAAAAAAACAAACAAAAAAAACAAACAGAGGAGACAGCAAACAACAAAGAGCAACATAATAATAGAGAAAACAAAGCACCATCACAATAAACTAGCTAGTCATAGATATCAATAGTTACTAAATAATAAACGATATTGTGCAGCACGCAAGATAGACAGCGCACAGTGTGCTTTGAGGCAGCAGCCAAGAAAGCTTTAGTCCGCGTCTGTGAATACCCATGTGTACACCTGTGTGCATACCTGTGTGGATCAGCATGCTTGCATTCCAAAGGTTTCTCCATGTAATGATCTGCTAGGGAGTGTGGGGGGGCCACAGCCCCGTCCTCCAGGGTGTGAAGCGGGTATGGAGGAGATCAAAACTCCAGACATCCAGAGGCCCCCAGAACACAAGAGACCATGGAAGACCAACAGAGGGGCAGCCGCGCCACTGTTCCAGTAAGAGCTGAGGAGAGTCCCAGATGAGGGCTCGCCCAGCAGCCGCGGAGCAGAAGCCAGGGGGAGTTGCAGTGACGCGCCCGTGAGCTCCGCCGGCCCCCAGCTGTGCCTGAGTGACCGAGCCCCAGGCCGAGAGGCCGGGGGCACCCCACCTCCAAAGGGGGCCCGAGCGAGCCCCAGGCCCCAGGCCCCGACAAGCGGCCGCCAAGGAGTGAGCCGGTGTGTACCCGGACGCCCACCCCCAGACACAAAGAACCACCAGCACACCGACACCTGAGGGAGTCCGCCACCGGCAGGGGAAGTGGTGGTGGGTGAGATAGGCCTCCAAACCTTGGAGGGCCTGAGGTGTCCCCAGAGAGGTGGCGTCTGATACCCAACCTGACATATAGACACAGACATACAGGCACACACAGACACAAACATCCATTCCCACCCTCATGCTCTCATTGCACTACTCCACACTCAACCAACGTGGAGAAGACATAAAGAGACGCTGTACACACAATC